GGGGGGGGGGGTTGTTGCTTTGTGTTGTCTGGCATGACGAGTGCACCTGTGACCTTCTGTTAAGAAGGATGTGTAAAGGGCTTTATCCAGAAATGCTGTACTCTTGTGTAGAGTTGACTTACTTAAGAAGGTCATCATCTAAGAAAATAACACATCACGTACATGTAGGGCTTCAACTAATGAACGTCTTTGTCAGTGATCAATCCATTCTAGTCTATTCAGTACAGTAACGTAACAAGAAGTCATGAATCTTATTTTACGCCGCTTCATTTCTAATGTGACTTTTCTAACAAATATATTTTCCTTGTAGCTGATAATAAATAAAGGTGACACTTTCTATGACGCCCATGTCTACAATGCATTATAGAAATACTTGTAATGCGTTATAAACAGCTTATAGTACCGTATTATATTTATAAGCACTCATGAATATTCATTATGCTTCATAACAACAATTATAACACACTATAAAGCATTTTAAATGTCTTATAAGGTCAAGTTTCATAATACTTAATGATTGCTGGTCACTTTTGCAAGTGAAGTTGTAATTCATTATCATATTTTATCATGCATTATAACCATAGTTATTATGCATTTTAATGTATTTATAACTAATCTAAGTGGTCATTGTTTGCTTTCAGTAAAGTAATAGTTCATTTTAAAATGTTTGTTTTTCTTGCATATATTGTTTTACTGTATCATTTAAAGTAACTTATATGACATTATAATGTATTATAAAAGGTATTACTCTATTATAAAAATATTATAATGTATTACAACTATGGGAATAAATTCAGTGAGTGACCAGCAATTATGATACTTGACCTTATAAATCATTACATTATGGTTTATAATTTGTTACATTTTTTGCTACAAAACATTATGACATTATTTAATATATATATATATATATATGTATATGTATATATATATATATCTATCTATCTATCTATCTATCTATCTATCTATCTATCTATCTATCTATCTATATGTATATATGTATATATGTATATATGTATATATATGTGTGTATATACACATATATACACGTGTGTGTTTGTGTTGCTATAGAAAGGCCAAAAGAGATGCCAGTGTTTCACTGAATCAAGTAAAAAAAAAAATAAAAAAAATAAGAAGTGGAGTAATGAAGGAACAATGTTAGGTCGTGTGTGTGTTATCAAGCATGCCAAGGAGATTATATCTGAATATCACACAAGGCTTCGTCACATGAGTCCATTCAAACTGCTCAAAAAGCTACACACTAAACCCACACATGCAGTCTGTTTCAGTGCACCCCCCCCCCCCCCCCGCCCCCCCCCCCCCCCCCCCCCCCCCC